ACCTCTAAATAAAATCGATGCAACCCTAAATCCAATTTAAATGTCACCACGCCCCTGTCCAATAAGGACGCTCCTGTCAACATTGTTCACATGACGTCATGGTGGAATGAACTTGCATTCTTTATCTGTAGATGTGGCCTTAAACATGAAACTTTACCACTCTTCTGTATGAATGGACAATGCGTACCTTCGTTGTAGGTGACCTCATTGAAGATCATGCAGGCAGTGTCATTGGAACTTTCGAGAATAGTCAACCACCTGAAGCATCCTGGAACAGATCTCTTATCTTCTGTTACGGTTGAAAAAACGACACGGTGGCATCCCTGTTGTCCTTCCTGCCGACCCTCCGCCACCGACGCATGGGTCACAGTCCTCACGTTTCGTATAGCATCATCCGAACAGAGACCTCGTAGATTGCGACCTGATGCTGCCGCCACAGGTGCCAGCTGTTCGCGAAACAGCGCGCTCGAGACGAGTCGTAGGTGTACCAAGTCTAGGTCGGGACAGCGAGGCCACGTCTAGCCTTCTTCCTCTGTTTAGAATTACCAGAGAAGCGGGTTACGTTTACGTCGACTGGTGACGTACCTTTGAGCCGTGCAATATTACTGGCGCAGACGCATTTGGATATGTGTTGAACTTCACTGCGTGAGTCATCCTATACCATTTCAAGTCAACCCCCGCCAGGCTCGCGCTGCAACGGACTGTGACTCAGCTTTGCCGGCTGGTGACGTACCTTTGAGCCGTGCAATATTACTGGCGCAGACGCATTTGGATATGTGTTGAACTTCACTGCGTGAGTCATCCTATACCATTTCAAGTCAACCCCCGCCAGGCTCGCGCTGCAACGGACTGTGACTCAGCTTTGCCGGCTGGTTGTAGTACTGTCTACGCTAAAACAAAAGAGACGGTTAGCAGCGGGCATTGGATGCCAGCAAACAACCTTCGGACCTGCGGCAGAAGGTGCTCTGACTCCACTCCTGGCACGACACCCACCTGGTTTGGGTCTCCGACTGCGCAACCTTTCTCAGAAGAGAGAAGAGGACGCATAAAAAAATAGTTTCGAGAATCGGAAGGAACCTTGGTCAGCATAGTAACAATGCCCTAGCATCTCCTTGACCCTGCTGCCCTCAAAAGTAAAAACAAAACCAAAAAAAGAGGCGTTTGCATTTGTATTTTGGCAGGAAAGGGTTAGGGGAGAGTATTTCTCAAGAAATGTTTAAGAAATACGTTTCATTCTGATTGTATTGCGATACAAAGAAACATTCCAAGTGTATTTCGATACAGGAATACAGATACTGACGAAAAAAATGTATCGCGATACAAAATGTATTTCTGAAATACTATCGCGATACATTTGTATCACGATACTGCCCAACCCTGGTTGTAAGCTTCACGAAGGTCCAGCATGTTGAAGCAGTCAACACCATTCAGTGAAGGGAAAACGTCATCGGTCAGCAGTAAGGAATACTGCTGCGTCGGACATGCCTTGTTTACGGTGAGCTTAAATTCACCGCACAGTCTTCTATTAGATTAAACCCAATCCTGGTTGAAATAGTTTTCAGTGTTCTGCCAGAACCTCATCCAAGTCTCCACGTTCAGTCTTTCAAGAGAAAAGTTGAGCTGAAAGAAGGCCGAACGCTCGAATAACGTCGCGGCCAACCGGACTTGGTCCGTTGCATCCGAAAAATGTTGGCTCCGCGTTCACACGTCCTTCGTTACGGACCTTCAAACTTAACTTCCCCTTGATGGGAACGTTGCCGACTTGACATGGCAAGCTTAATGCTGTATGTTGCAAACGAGGCCGGCTTGCTTTTTTTCTCTTCGTATACTCTTTCTGCATTGGCGCAGACTGGGATGCCTGTGTCCAGTTCCATGAGCAGTTCAACACCACCCCACGTGAACAGCCGCTGAACTGGCGCAATCAAGTTCATTGCGCCCTCTTGATCCGTTCGCGGAAAAATGATATCAATCCCGCCGATGTCATTAGACTGTTCCAGATAAGGCGTTGGCCTCTGCGGCCGATGTTGTTGTACGTGGAGTACAGCGCTGTGCAACATGTCCTGCCTTGCCAGAGCCAAAACATGTATTTTTCCGAAACCCGTTATCACTGGGTAGGTGTCAGGCTCTACCACAGCGGTTTTAGAGGTTTGATCTTCTCACCCTCCCTTGAACCTTGTTTCGAGCTTGGATTTAAGAAGCTCGGCATCATTTCGCTGTCATCTTCTGTAGACATCCATCTGGCTTCACCATCGGCGCGGCGCCTTTCGTGACCGCCGCTATAGCGACTGCTTACCCACTGCGAAATCCACCGCCAGGTCCCTGCGTGCCAATAAAGTGTGTCGCAGCTTCTTGTGCAGCCCGTAAACAAGGCGGTTACGCTACATGCGGTCTGGCAGTAACCCAAAATTGCAATTGTCCGTAATTCGACGTAAGTTCACCAGGAAATCGTGAACTGTCTCATTATCTCCCTGTCCACGGTTGTAGAAACGAAAACTTTCCGTTCTCTCATTTGACTTAGGTGTGAAGTAACTATCCTTGCGCTCGACAGTCTCGTCATAGTTGAGCTCAGACATTTCTGCAGGTACGCAAGTCGCGGATAACACGCAGAGAGCCTTCGTTCCTTGTGCCTAGACTAGAAGATCTCGCGTCTGAGGTGCAGATGTGAGCCAACTTCCCTCGAAGTGAGCTAATAAGATACGATTCCCAGTTGTCTGTGACATCGTCCAAGGGAGGAATGCTGTAAGCCATGCCTAGCAGCTTACCGGTGGTGGCCCACCGATCAGGGAACCGTTTCGTGCGTGGTTGTCCGTGGTCATCGCAAATGTAGCAAAGTGCCAAACGAATTGACGTTGCCCTATTGAAAAAACCAGCTTAAGCTGGTCCCATCTTCAAGCTGGGTTATTACCCCAGCATGCCCAGCTTGGCATGCTGGTCATGTTGGTTCTTCTGGTCATACTGGTCATGCTGGTTGATCTGGTTATACTGGTCATGCCGGTTGATCTGGTCCCACTTTCAAGCTCGGTTATTGCCCCAGCATCACCAGCTCGGCATGCTGATCTGGTCCCAGCTTCAAGCTGGGTTATTGCCCCAGCATTCCCAGTTTGGCATGCTGGTCATGCTGGTTAAACTGGTCATGCTGGTGGACTCCCAGCCCATTTCACCTGTTTAAATTAATACACAGGATAAACAAGCCAAGCTCTTCAGAAAAGCCAACTCGGCGTCCAATTTATTATTTCGTACTTGCGGCCGCCTCACACGAACTCCGATGCTACATATCCTCGACGCTGACACAGTACTAACCGGCGCACAGACAGTGCATGGTTCTCGTTGAAAAGCCAACAATGTTACTAAAACCAGATTGCTTATCTTTCAACACGAAAAATACTAGACACACGCCAAAAACAGGCAATAGCAAAAGAAAATACTACACGGATGAGAGAAGCGAACCTGGGTCCCACCAGTGAGGGGGGCGAAGCGGCAACTTGCGCGGTCGGCAGAGGCGAGGAAATCCGTGTAGCTTGGATGGCATTGGCAATACTCCTCGGCACCACCGTCATTCGCGAGCACACACACGTTCGAAGACACGAAGCGACGCCTCAGTCGGGGCGTCCGATTTCTTCCCGGACTGAACGGACTGCCGCTCGCTGTCTCTTCAAAACCCGCTTTGCTTGCACCGTCGTTCAAGTAGTCTCGAAAGAACGCGCACACAGCCGTCCCTTTTAAAATCTACCCAAGATAGCCAAACGCGTCTCAAATTCTCCGTTTCTACCACTCTGTCTCTCTCTCTCTTTTCTCGCACACAAAAGTAGCTTGCAACGCGCCTGACGCGCCCGGTTGTCTACCAAAAACGAGAGGACAAAGAACAGGACGTGGCCTCGTTCCAGCCTAAGCCGACCTTGGCGCGCGCGTTCCCAGCAATGCCAGTTCAGATATCTCTAGCCGACCTCGGCGTGCGCGCTCCCAGCATGACCAGCTTGACCACCACGATTATTAGTTCGACCAGATTCACCAGCTTGTCTCTCAGCGTTACCAGTTTGTCTCCCAAATTGACCGCATTGGCTGCATGGAAAACCAGTTAGGACCAGACTGTTTCCCAGCTACACCAGATTGAATCTAAAACCAGATTCTAGTTAGACGATGCTGGTTTTTACTTAATCCAGACTGGCCAACTTAAATTCTAGCTTGCCCAGCTTAAACCAGCTTGATAGCCAGTTAAGCCGTTTTGACTACCACATTGAGCAGATTGACCAGCTTAGTTACCAGCTTGGCCAGTTTGATTTTCGTGCTGGGTTTTCCAATAGGGTGTGGCGATACGGAACACTGCTACTGTAGAACCAGTAGAAGGAACGTGTTTATTGCATGAGGTCGGAATTGAGATCGGCACTGCTCGTGCTGTCGGCGCCAGAAGAACGACCGTCGTCTTCGTCGTCTGGTCACAGTTCCTAACAATAAGGAAGTTGATAATCAGCGCCTCGTCTTGTGTGTTGTCTCGTCTGTGTCCTTATGTTTCGCGTTATTTTTCATCATGAAACCGTGCAGATAAAGGAAATAATAAAAATGTGAAGTATTAAAATGTATAAATTACCCAATTATACTTAAAGCTAATCATTTTAATTAATGGGGCATTTGGCACAACTCACTACTGCATCAACCTTTTTCCCGCTATGCGTAGTTTTTGGAGGAGCAATTTCACCCACGTGTCCAAAGACATCCGGGTTCAAGTGCGTTGGTGACTTATCGTCAAAAAAAGATCTAGGTGCACTGTTCGCAATGTCGTGAAATTTGCTGGAGATGCAGTTTTAAGCATAAATAACCCGCGAATACATTACTCGTAATCTCGTGATTAAAAAAAAAAAATAAAAAACAAACTACGTGGCTATGCACTTACCGACATAATACCATGCTATCTACATATTTTTAGAATTCACACGTTCGAATTCTAGCGATTATTTGCAGTGTTTATAGAAGATGGAACTGTGTACATTATTTGCTTTTTTCAGTCACAGTCATGGGAAACCTGGCCATCGTTCTTCTACTAGTGTGCATTGTGTCAAGTTGTAAGTTTCTATTTTTGTTTTCTTTATTTATTCAGATATTCTGTGTCGTGAGGCGTAATCTAGAGTAATTATTCGATGTCAAAATACCAGGCAGTTGAAATGCACTTGTGAGTTATTAGGGTTAGTGCGTTTGAGTAGATGGCGTTAGTGACTCGACAACATTATCCGATACTTCGATAGAATTAGGACAGCGGGTTGGTTAAACATATTGGTATGCGAACGCAAAAGGAGACAAGTGGGACACACAAAAATACGTCAGACACGGACAGTGTTCAATTGGCGGCAAGTTTATTATCTTTTCCGGCGTGCAGAGCCCGCGTGATCTTGGGTGCGCGCCTGCCGGCTCAAGGTCCCGCCCATTCCTCTCTCCCCCGACCCAGGCTCCCCATCTTTTTCTCAAGAAACCATTCCTCCTTTCTGCTCAAATTAAGGGATTTGTGATTCACATTGTTGTCGCTTCTCTGTATGAGGAAGGCCTCGTCCACTTCCCTTCCCAACCGCCGATCAGGGTGCCTTTTGATAGCCGTCGCTTCGTTAAAGATGGACTTGCATCCCTCACAGCTATTCACGTGCGCTTTTAGGGGGTGCCTCTCGTGTTACTGAAAGCCTATATTTGTGTTATTTTAATCTATCGTTTAGACAACGCCCTGTCTGTCCGGCGTAATGGCGAACTCGCGTGGCACTTTCTGCACGCTCTCGAGCGCTCTTTCCAGATTGCGCGAAATCTGCTGGTGGAAGGAGAGTACGGTGCTTGATCGGCTTGGTTCTTGCCGAGGGCGCACCTCCCACTCAGAGCGATCCCTAGCACTCCGTCGTCGGAGTGCGGGGCGGCGCAGGCGTCGCGCGGTACTTGGACGGGGATCACACGTGGTTTTCTTGCCGGTGGCCGGCAGCGGTCTTTGGTAGTGCGCGGTGTCCGGCATGCCGGTGGTGGACATCTGGTTCTACAAAGCGCTTGTGCATTCAACGGTGCGAGAATTAGAACGGACGGGACGACATTCGTAGGTGATCGTAGCAGGAAATGTCGACTTGGGAAGTACTCCCAGTGTTCTCACGAAGTCTTTCACCTCACGGCGGTGAACCTGCCAAACGTTACCGCCGAAGAGACAGCTCGCAGAGTACGCCGCTGTTTTACCGGGTTTTGTGGTCGCTTCAAGAAATGTTCGGGTTTGGTAAAAGTGCGTTCAGAGATTCGTGTGGTAAAGCAAAAGGAGCGCAGAATATAATGCACCGTGATTTGTATCACATGGCGATACGTGCTATATCCTGCTTGCACGATATTCCGCCCAGAGAAAAATTCGGTTTATTAACCATTTCATACTTGCCTGTTCTGCCGTACGCATGACCGCTTTCGCAGCGCGTTCAGAGTCGAAAACGCGATGAGTCGACAACACATTCCAAGCATTGGCTTTCGTTCCTTTCTGCAAAAATCAATTCGCATACTGCTGCTTTTTTTAACATGTCGTTACGTAGAACAATTTACGTCACAACCGTTATTTCATCACGTTGTTACCGTAAATTTTGCTCAATCGTGCGCCGTACGCTGTAAATTTTTTTTTCTGCAATACCAACGTTAATACGTTTTACCTCCGTGGCTGGTCTGAGAATGTTAGAGCGTTCTGAACCCAGCAGTCGTGATCGGGTGAAAAGGATCCCGAGAAACTCTGGTGGCCAGGGGGGGGGGGGGGGGGGGGTCGCTCTACTGAATCAAGGTCGGAGGAGACAGGCGACCACCCAAATGCACAACACGTTTTGCCGCAAGACAGTGGAAGCGAGTATACTACCTTCTCTTCGAATTTGCCAAATTTTTGTTTGTGTTTCATTTCGTATTTTTTTCTAGCCTATCTTGTCCGTTAACATTTTGTGCAAATTTTAAAAGTTAGTTCTTACACGTAAAGAATGCGTTGAATCATCTGAAAACAGTTTTTTGACGTGGTGAGAGAATCTGTGAGTGTGCAGAATGGTAAGAAATCGCTTGGATTTTTTGTTTCCTTTTCACTTTTCCTTCTTGCTAATAGCCTAGAGGCCACCATTTTTACTAGGTCTGGGGGTACCCTGCGCTCTCTAGTCGCAGGGCTTTGTGCTTTACGCTGTCCCCTCCGTAGGGACGTCATGACTAGGATAGGCTGTTCTTCTTCGTTTCCTGTGTCCTCAGTGAACTGTGATCTCAAGGAATGCCTCTGAAAACATGATGTTTCGTTTTTTGTTTTTTTTAAAATTTCGTTGTGTGCATTACTAAGTAATCACCTACGAAGCGAAAAATATGTAAGTCTCCCGAGGTTAACCATCGAGTTATCTCTGAATTGAGTGCGACATCCACTGCGCTCATATAAAGCTCGCTCAGAACAGGAGCCACAGCGGACCCAATGCACATTCCGGTTGTTTGATTGTAGACATTACCTTGAAACTCTGCGAGTAGCGACCGAAGGTACAACCTGAGTAGCTGTAGAACCACTCCAAGGCTTATCCTTGCGTCATTCAGAAAATTTTCAAGCCTTTGCTCAATAATCGCAGATTAAACTTTTTTAATCATAGTTTTCGTGTCAGAAAAAGACGTACACCTTTTTGATGTCAAGTGAGAACACTGCCATCCGTTTGTGGTGAACTGAGCCCGAAGTCTCTAAGCAATCTTTAGAGCAGTAATTCTCAAATAGAGTTCCGCGGACCTTTTGCGGTCCGCGAAGTCATTCTAGGGGTCCGTGAAGCCCTCATTAGTTAAGCCCGGCAATAAAAATTGTATCTTGTTATATTGAAAAGTGTTCCAAGTTTAGAGTAAGTTTCGTCGTGTGTATGTCAGCCACAAGTCAAGCCCTTAGTTATATAAAGTTATTAAATCATTAGGATAATTTCCCTTTACATTTACCTTCCACTAAGCACGAGTGGGGTCCCCCATCATTTCTGGCGATCCACAAGGGGTCCGCGAAACCTCAATGGTTGGGAACCACTGCTCTAGAATCGCGGATTCTGAAGGGATGAGAAACGTTGGGAGTTTATTTGTTTTGAAGGAATGTAGTTAGTGCCTTTGCCACGTCCCTACTTCGGGTGCTATGCACCTGAACGGCTTCTCAGTGTTGTTACCGTAATATCCCGAGTCATCGCCTACCCCCGAGTCATCGCCCACCCCCCGTTTTGGGCGAAATATCGATTTCGTAAAATGCACCGAGTCAACGCCCACCCCCCGTTTCGGGCAATCGATCTCGTAAAAAAAGCACAGAGTCATTGCCCAGACCTGAAAAACGTCAATTCCGAGCCCCACAAATGGCAAACAGAAAAAAAGAAAAAAAAGAAAGGGCGCCCTCTTGCATTTTCAGGACTCCAAAATTGGAGGATGCGTGAGTAGAAGAAACACAATCAAGATAAGAAAGCGAACCTATATTCATCTGACAAACAAAAGCAGACACGTTTCCGATCCTTTCTCTCCTGCCCGCACCCCCCCCCCCCCTCCCCCGAAAAAGAAATAAAAATAAAAGGCCAGAAGGTCCGTTTGCAATATAGCGCCTGGACGCGCGGATCATAGGGTCAGAAAAGATCGTAGGAGGGAGAGAAAGAGATAACATAATGCCGCTTTATGTTCTTTTTTCTGTTCATGACTGAAAGTCCGTTTTCACCGAAAAGGTAAGTCAGGTCGCGAAACCGCAACTTAAAGAGGACGCGGACCGGATGACTAACTCAATACTGCGAATACAAGTGGTTCAGAACAAAAAGCCTCGTTTGGATTCGATTTTCTCTGTCCTAAACCTACTCCGGCCGACTTGGCATTCTTTGAGAACGTCGCGACCACTCCGCGCGAAGTCGGAGTACGTTTATAGAACACCGCTTCCTTTTGTTCCTAACGGAAAGTCCGTCTTCGCCCAAAAGATAAAAAACGCCCATCGGTAAACCGCAAAGGGGGCAAACACACAGGCATTCTTTGCGAATGCCGCGACCGCCGTGAGCCTACCGGCAGTATAAGCAGTATAAGCCTGGAAACAAAGCGTCATTTTCCTCTCCCAAAGCATCATCCCCCCCCCCCCCCCCCAAGCCAATCGGGCGCCGGCGCAGAGCGTAACCGGTGGCTGCATTCTGAGAACAATCAATGGCTGCGCTCCGCGTCGGTGCCCGATTGGCCTTGGCCGCCCGCAACTCCGGTTGTACTGCCACAGAAAGTTATCCCGAAGCCGCGCGCGCGCACGCACAAACACGAAGGTCATTGAGTTTGTGCGTGCGCGCGCTTTCCGCGGCAACGGTCGCGCCCGCGGAGAGAGCCTTTTTATGGTTTTCGCTTTTGTCATCTTATTTGTGCTTTTGTACTGGGTTCGTTTTAAGGGGTGTCCAAACTGGACACTACAAAACGCACGACTCCGACAAGTCGTGAAAATTGAAGCGGGCACGAAGCGGGCGCGTCCGCTTCAATTTTTACGATTTGTCGGAGTCGTGCGTTTTGTAGTGTCCTGTTTGGACACCCCTTTAGGCGTCGGTTAAAGGCTGCCGGTTTGCTTGGTTCCGAAGTCGAAAAGGAAGCGGGGACCCGCTTTCCTTTCGGCTTTCGTCACCTTTGCTCGGTCACTGTGGCTTCTTGTGATTTTTCTTTTCTTTTTCTTTTTTTCGATGATTCTTTTTTTTTCCGTTCACGGTGGACCGAACGCTGCAGCGGTCGTGGCTTCGAATTGCGCTTGCTCGGAGGAGGCGGAAACGAGCTACCCGCGAAGCAGTGGATTTTGCTCGACAGTAAAATGAGTCGCAAGTAAGATACCAACCCGAGATTTGAGTTCAGCTAGATTCCTGTCGAGCTTCGCTATACACAAACAAAAAAAAATCGCATTTTTAAACTTTTTCGAAACTTTTTGAGCTCGGTACCCGAGTCATGGCCCACCCCACAATTTTTGAGAATTTCAGGCGGGGGGGGGGGGGGGGGGGGGGAGGGGAGGAGGAGGAGGAGGAGGCGTTGACTCGGGATATTACGGTAGTTTTAATTTTGAAGGACACCTTTAGATGGTTATTTTTTTCCTTTCTTATAGATGCACAAGCAGACTCCAATTCGTTCTTTTCCAGTACTTCGCACACCCTTTCCTTAGTCTCCCGAGAGGGGTTTGATCGTTTTTAGAAAAATATTTTTTTGCCGCTCTTAATGATTCTTTATTAAACGTTCTATCCCTTAACACTACTAAGTCTCCTTCCTTGTCTGATTGCAGTAAGCGCAGATCAAAGGAGTTTAGGTAGGTTAGGTTGAGGTAGCTCCTCTACTTTTGCATCAAAAATCCCTCTTTGCAACTTGAGCGCACTTCTGAGTTCACGGATCGGTCCCGCTGGGTCTCTGGCACCATGATTGACGCTCGATGAATAGTCGCCACCATGTCGACAGGAGACAGTACGACGGCTGGGTTGAACTTCGGTCCTTGGTGAGAACTGTCGCAGTTTAGGGTGTCAGATGCTGGTTGGATAAGTTGAGAAAACCAGGCCCTTGGGGTTTCTCAATGTTACCTGCTTTCTTGTGGGGTGGTAGTTGTGTTTTGCAAAATAGTTTCCATGCTGATTCAAAGAACCTAAATGATCTGGTCTCCACGAAATCATGTCCTTTTGTGTGTTTTAACGAGACCTACATACTTTTCGCTTTGTAGATGATTACCTCGTAATGCACACAAATGAAATTCATAAGAAAACGTAACATCATATTTTCAGAGGCATTCGTTCAGATTACAAATCACATAAGGCACAGGAAACGAAGAAAGACTACAGTTCATAAATCAATGATAAAAATCCAAAACTAAAAACCAGAGACCTGCTGAATCTACGAGCAGAGATCTAATAAGCCTTCACTTCCGTTTAAAAGCTCGCATTCAAATATCGTTAGACAAGGAATTACTAAGTCGGCCATCTCATCATCACTGTTAAAGCCATGTCTTCACTGTGGGGAAGACAGCCTAAAGAACAAGCCCTGCGACTAGGGAGCGCAAGGAACCCCACACGTTTAGTAAAAACGGTGTTTCTTGGCTATTAACAAACAAGAAAAGCGAAAAGGAAGCAGAAAGATTCCAAGAGACTTCCTACCATTCCGTACACTCGTGGGTTCCCTCACCACATCCACAAACTGTTGTCAGATGATTGAAAAACACTTTTTACGTGTAAGAACAAAGATTCGAAAATTATGCATAAAGTTAATGCGCAAAGCAGCACAAAGAAAAATTTCCCAAATGCGAAGAGGAGATAGTATACTCAATTCCAGTCTTGCGGCAGGACTTACATTGGGCAGACAGGGCGTTGTCTAAACGATAGATCAAAAGAACCCCTAAAAGCGCACGTGAATAGCTGCGAGGGATGCAAGCCCATCTTTAACGATGCGGCGGCTATCTAAAAATACCTTGCCGGATGGGACGATGCGGCGGCTATCAAAAAGTACCTTGCCGGATGGGACGGGAATTGGTCGACGCCTCACTCATACAGGGTAGCGACAATAATGTGAGTCACAAATCTCTTAATTTGAGCAGAAAGGCGGAAGGTTGCACGAGAAGGAGATAAGGAGCATCCGTCGGAGGGCAGAGGGATGAGCATGGGCTGGAGCCGGCAGGGGCGCTGTCAAAATCACGCGGGCCATGCACGCCGGAAGAGAGAATGAACTTGGTGGAGTTGAACGCTGTTTGTTTCTGACGTGTGTTTGGGTGTCCCTTGTCTCCTCTCGCGTTCGCATACCAATATTCGATACTTCGTTTTTGCCTTTACGAACGCGGGAAATTTTTATTGGATATGGTTATCGAGGCTTCTCTTGTACAATTAGAAATTGTTACGTCATAAAAAGTGCTTTGAACAGTAAATATAGACACTAACATCTGCCCTTATCTCCAAAGTCATAAAATGCATAAAATGCAAGATTTAAAGAGTTTGTTTAAATTTGTTTAGAGGGCATTATACGGTCGTTTCAGAGAGTAAATAACCTTTATTTATATAAATTTCCACGCTAAATGAAAAAGGCAAACTTAGTACAAAAGTCACGTGACGTCAATTTTCCCGCTAAGATTAGTGTGAAATTGATCTCCTGATGTCAGGTCATGTGGCATTGATTTACCCGGTAAATGTAGGAGAAAATACACGAAGAAAGGGACGGACTAACTTTTGTGATGGTGCTGTTTCGTTAGAAATTAATTTATGCTTCCATGAGCAGTCTTACTTTTCACAATCATAACTACCACTGCAGGCATCTCAGTGTCGAATGTTCGGCAGCACATTTTCCATCAATGTCAAAGATACAGGCTCAAACCAGATCATTTCTTCAATCGTTGTCATTGTCAGTAAGAAACTAAAAATACCTCTTGGTAGCGACATTTATTTCTATCTATAAGTGGGGCCCGTTGCTCGTCATTTTCTTATTGAAATGTTAGAAAATCGTGTATAAATTTTGAGTCAAATGACGGTAAATACTTAAACGTTGGCATCTGGTCTTAGTCGCTAAAACTGTACTTTGGGTGGCGAGTGCAGACATGATATCCGACAATGCGTATATTTTTTTTGTTTGGTGTGAAGCACGTAATGTTTATGTTCTCCTGAACACACATTGCATTTTATAACCTCCTTTACCTTAGATCATGTGAAATCGTATTGTTCATTGTTTTCAAACTGTGTAGCCGGTGTCTCTAAACATTAAATATAATTTTTTTTCTTTATTTCGAAAGCTTTTACGCACGCAGTGTTCCTCTTTACTGCCTCAACTTCTGAGTTTGTCTTGTTTGCGTCTTCAGATGGGGCTTTTCCAAAGCATTATCCTTTTCCTGACTTTGGTAAGTGCCATTCAAGCTCACCTCCACCTTTTAGTGTATGTATAATATTCGTCACACTTAAACTAAGCTCGACACCACCATGGTGTTCAAAAACTTCAGTTGTCTCGAAGTGGAATTCATCCCAAACTTACACATTGCAAACTAAAAAGATAAAAAAAGATAATCTGACACGTAAATAGAAGTGAGGACCGGTAACCCGCGGAGCGAAATATGGCGACCCGCGAAGCGAAAGAGACATCTGGTGACTCGCTCTGTCGGTTCAGGATATGGACTTTCTCTCGCTGGCACATGGACATTGCCGGACGAAAAAAGAGTGCGGGACTTATAGCCCGTTCACACTGGAGGCGATCATCGGCTTCCAGTCTGAACGCGTGATTTTAAGCACAAAGCGGCTGGGATCGCGTGGATCCGCCTGCCGCTACCGGACCGATTCCTCCCATCCGCTTTCGTCAAACCCCGAAGCACCAACAATTCGCAACGCGGCAGGCTGGCCTCACGTTCCTGACTTTCGAAACAAGACGACACCCGTCTATGGTAAGACGTCCTGTAAACCTTTCTCGCAAGGGCGCCGCCATCTTGAATTATCCTCACTTCCAGTATGGTTGAAAACATTGTTTTGGCGCCGCCACGCCGATAGAAGGCATTTAGGACATAAACGTAACCGTCACACATTCTCGTTTTACCTCCCCTCTATTTCTTTACTACCTGCAGGTTGAAACGTTTTGTTATTTGTTCGTCGCCCATACCGGATATGCCTACTTGGCGGTCGGGGGCGAGAGTAAGCAGAAAAAGTCTATAGTCGGTGACAAGTCAAGGGCGGTCTTAAGGCTCCACCCACGAGAACAATCCACATGTTTTAAGTTCCTCCGCTTTCCAGGAAATGGTGAGCTGGAAACGACGCATTTCGCTCTCAGCAAAGCTTTTTAGGTTCAAAGTACGCTGACGAAGTTTTGGTTTGTTCTACCGACGTGTATTTAGGAGAATGCCTTAAGAAATAAGTCGGTAAAAGCGGTCCCAAGTTAAAGAATTACTTAAAAAGGCCGAGGGACGGTTACATACGATACCTGGGTCTTCAACTTAAAACTGATGCAGGCTTTTGTTGGGAATATGGAACGTTCACAGCAAACAACTTCATCAAAGCAGTAGCTGCCCCCCAAAGTATATAAAGTGGGAATGATTGGGAACCTTTAACGGGGGTTGCGACCTAGTCAGGTGATTTGTTTTCGATTTTTGTCCCACCCTCCCTGACAATTATGTCAAAAATAAATAAACAAACAAACAAACCAACCTTGTCAATGCAGCAGTTCAAAGGTCCAGTTCTCATTTGATTAGTTAATCTCTTCATCGCCTTATTGATCGCTTCATAATGGCAAGTTATCCTCGGAAGTATTCTTTAAGACAATAGGTCGAAAGAGTACTAAAACTTCGAAGCGAGTATTCGTTCCCTACTTTCACAGAACATTCGACAATATCAAAACACTAGCCAGCAGGTTTAATGTTAGCCTTTCCTTTCGCACAGGTTATAGGCTGATTCAGATGACCCCCTTTGCTTTATCAACTACAAGATTTGCGAAGAAGCTCATTGAACTATATGTTGAGTGTGTGTCAGGAATTTTGTACAAGGTACCTTTTGATTGTGGCCGGTGTTATATCAGGCAAACTGAAGGTTGTATAAATGACCGCTTATCAAAACACAAACGTTGCACAAAATATAAGGAAAATACTCCGAAGTATATAAAGATGTAGTTTAATGAAACACCTTCTTACCGTTGTGCGGCACGCAAGAGCTTCAGTATAACTGCGAGGAAAAAGTTATCACAAGCGCTTGATAAAATAATAGTTAAAATACTATAATACGGGAACACTGTTGAGAAGGCTTCATTTTGTGTAGCCTCTGAACTACGACGGTTTCCTGGGTTTTTAGTGGTGGCGACCTTGAAGCTTCTTTGCTGAAGGGATTAAGGAGACTGGGTGACGTGGCCTTCTGTGTTTCGTTTTGTGCTCCTGAACGAAGTTCCTCCGATGAAGAATGAGGTTGTAGCGTTCACTGGGGGCCAAGAGTTTAGCGGTGGGAGAAGAGGAGTTTGTCACTACGTTCTTTTATTTTCTTATGGTAGTTCTTTAACCCGCGGACACACAGCTTATACACCATACAAAATACAGGCTACAGACACGACTCACTGCAATATCCATAGTTCGAATGCAGCCTGCCAAGTTTTTTCTTGAACTCAATGCCACCAGTGTGATAACGGCTTTAGGATTCAGTTCTGGAACTTTCTGTTTTGCTTGATATTGCTGCCTAGTCCAAAATTACTTGCGTCTGTTTGAGCAACAAACGGTCGGTCAAGATCCGGCAGGTGTAAGAAAGCAGCGTCATTTATCACCCATGCGTCCTGTTGCTTTTGTCCCCAACGCCACTTTTCTCTTTTGCACAAAAGCAGATTCAATGGGTTAGCGATCTCGGCGCAGTGTGAGATTAATTGGCGATATAATCCGGCCAATCCTAAGTAGGGTTGCAAGCTTTTGACGTTTTGTAGTTGCGGGGACTCGGTTATCGCGCGCAGATTGTCCTCGTTCGGATGGAAAACTCCGTTGTGAAATATAAAACTAAGAATTTTACTTTGCCGAGAAGCGAGTTGCATTTTTTTAGGGTTATTTGTCAAGGCGGCGGATTGCAACTGCTCGAGGAAGATCTTAAGATGTTAGAGGTGTTCTTTGAAACACTGGAGGAAAAAAAACAACGACGTCATGCATGTAAGATATCGCCAAGTTGTACTTTCTGTCACCGAGAATGATGTCCATTATCACTGAAAAATGGCGGGCGAGTTTGAAAGACTGTAATGAAGGCGAGTAAACTCTAACAATCCTCTGTGACTTGTAAATGCGGTCTTCGGGGGATCAGCGAGGTTGCCTCGATCTGCAGGAACATATCTCTAAAGTTTTATATATCATTTATTTTTAAGTTTGTTCACACGTAGTGTTCCACTTTACTGCCTCCAGTTTTGAGTTTTTGTTTTTCGCATCCTCAGGAAGTGATATTCCATGTGATCTCCCCTATGATCTCGGTAAGTGTCATTCAAACCCGTCTCCACCTTTAGTGTAGGTATAATATTCGTCCCACATAAGTTAAGCTCCACACCACCATGGTGTTAAGAAACTTCAATAGTCTAGAAGTACGATTTATTCCAAACTTAAAAGATAAAAGTAAAAAAAAGATAAATAATCTGCCACACAGGTATGAGTGAGGACAGGTCTCCCTCGGCATAAGACCTCCGTGAAGTTCAGCAGGCATGTGGTGTCCTGCTCTCCTAGTTCAAACTTTGGACTTTCTGCCGCTGGCGCTTGGGGGTTGCCGGAAGAAAAAGGGGTGCGGGCCTTACAGCGCGTTCACACTGAAAGCGGATTTTTTCTTCCAGTCTGAGCGCGCGTTTTCAACCTATAAGCGGCTGGGATCGCGTTGATTTGCCTGGGCGGGCACGATTCCTCCCAATCGCTTTCGTCAAACTGCAAAGCGGCAACGAATCGGCACGCGACAGGCTGGCCTAACGTCCGTGACTTTCGAAACAAGACGACCCCCGTCGATGACGAGGCGTCCTATAGTCGCTGACAAGTCAAAAAAGGTCTCGAAGCTCCGCCCACAAGCAAAATCAACCCGTTTGAAGTTTCTCCCCTGTTGAGATAATGGTGCTCTGGAAACGAGGCATTTCGCTCTAAACAAAACTCTTTTAGGTTCAAAGTACGCTGACGATGTTTTGCTTTGATATACGAACGTCTCTTTAGGGGAATCTCTTGAAAAATATGTGAGCAAAAGCGCGCCCGAGTAAAAGTTTTTCTTAGAAAATCCGAGGGGCGGTTACATACAATACCCGGGTCTTAAACTTAAAACTAATTCAGGTCTTTGTCTAGAATATGGAAAATACTCAGCGAACCTTTTCATCATTCCAGTTGCTACCACTCAAAGCGTGCAAAAGTGAGAATAATTAGAAACCTTGTCAAAACAGAAGTTCAAAAGTTCAGTTTTCATTCGATTAGTAAATCTCTTTATTGCCTTATATAGCGCTTCATAGTTACAAGTAATCCTAGGGAGTACATTTTAGGACATAAGTTCAAAAGAATACTAAACCTTTGAAGCGAGTAGTTTTTCCCTACTTTCACAGATTCTTGCACAACATCAATACACTAGCCAACAGGTTGAACGTTAGAATATCCTTTCGCACAGGCTATTGGCTGGTCCAGATGGCCCCCTTTGCTTCAACACAGGTTTTGTGAAGCACAAAAAACATGATGTTGAGTGTGTGTCAGGAATTGTGTACAAGGTACTTCTTGATTGTAACCTGTGTTATATCAGGCAAACTGAAGGTTGTGTAAAGGACCACTTATCAGAACACAAACGTTGTACAAAACATAAAGACAGATACACTGAAGTATATCAAAAATGTAGTTGAATGCAACAATCGCGTACCGCTTTGCCGTACGGAAGTGCTTCTGCAGAATTGCCAGGAAACATTTATCACAAGCGCTTGATAAAATAATTGTTAACATTACAAAAACACCGGAGCATTGTTAAAAAGACTTCGTTTTGTGTAGGCTCTGAACTACGACGGGTTCCTCGGTTTTGAGTGATGATGACATTGAAGGTCTTTGTTGAAGTGGTCAAGGAGAGTGGGTGTCGTGGCCTTCTGAGTTTCGTTTTGTGCTGCCGAACAAAGATGCTCCGGCGAAGAATGAGGTTGTAGCGTTCACTTCGCGAAAGTTTAGCGGTGGAAGAAGAGGTGTTTGTCCCGACGTCTTTTGCTTTCTTGTAGTGGTCCCTTAAGCCGCGGCCACACAGCCCATTCACAATACAAAATACTGGCTGCAGACACGACTCACCGCAATATCCATAGTGCGAATGCTGCCTGCCAAGTTTTGTCTTAGACTCATTGCCAGCAGTGTGATCCCGTCTTTGGGATTCAGTTCTAAAACCTCATGTTTTGCTTGCTATCGGTGCCTAGGCCGGTATCGCTTGCCTCTGTTTCACCATCAAACGTTCGGTCAAGATCCGCCAGGTGTAAGGAAGCGGCGTCATTTATCGCACTTGAGAGCCGAAGGGTAGCGTCCTGTTGCTCTTGCCCCCAACGCCACTTTTCTCCTTTGCGCAAAAGCAGATTCAAGTGGTTAGCGAACTCGGCGCAGTGTGGGATAAGTTGGCGATACAGTCCAGTCATTCGTAGTTAACGTTGTAAGCTTCTGACACTGTGTGGCTGCGGGTGCTCGTTATCGCAAGCAGCTTGTCCTGGTTCGGACGGAGAACTCCGTTGTCCGCTACGAAACTAAGAATGTTGCTCTACGGAGAAGCGATTTGCGTTTTTCTAGGGTGATCAGTCAAGCCGGCAGATTGCAATTGTTTGAGGACAATTTCAAGATGTAAAGGTGTTCCTTGAAAACCTGGGAAAAAAACAACGGCATCAGGCATGTATGCTATCGCAAACTTGTACGTCTTGTCACCGAGAACGATGCCCATTAGGGGCTGAAAACTAGCGGGCTAGTTCGAAGGGTTGATAGAAAGGCGAGTGGACTTTAACGACCCTCTGTGACTAGGGATGCGAGGGCGCAGAAAAAAACCTGAAAATTGAGGGGGAAAACTGTTGTTTTAAGTGTTTAGCCCCGACATAGTATTCGAAAAAAAAACACACACCAAAACCCCAGTTTCTCAAGTATTAACTAACCAATTAAGCACATTTTCGCAAGAACGTTAAACCTGATATCACTGACCCAATCAAAAGGAAAAATAGTCTTTACCCACCGCTGAATTGAGTTTCGTCGGCAGAGCAGGCGGAAATTTAATTCGGCTATGCTCAGCATAATACACCTTTCAGCCCCTAAGAAAACAAAACAGCGCGACAACGGGGAAAGTGAGGGAACAGAAGCACCTCGGGTTGTCTGGCACCTCGACCCGTCGTTGCACCGTTTTCATCGAATCGGAAATCGCTGAAATATTCCGGTATGTGGACAATTTTGCAAACATGATGACGGGTGCCTAAATACCATTTTGAGGGGTTCCAACAGTGTTGCGTGGGCCTCAACTTCACGCATGAGCTGCCCATAAGGAGAACCATCAAATATCTTGATTTGGCATTAGAATTAAAAAAAGACATGTATGCTGGAGCTATCAAGCTCGATCGGGTAAAGGGTTCCTTCCCTTCAACCAAGAGCATTCCAAAACCGTAAAGCAGGCAGTAGCCACCACAGCCCTGTCATCCAGCCTAAAAAAGTCCTGTGAACATCAAATCACTCGAAGCTTCCACACACAAGTATCCAGACTTCAGGTTGCTGGCAACCCCCCACAAATATTGGCCTCCATATGCGAAAGAAGAGGCCTAAACATCAAGGAGGCTAACGACCATATTGACTCCACGACACAAAAAAGACACGTAAACCTTTTGCTGTGGTCCCGTATATCCATCGGATCACACATAGATTAAAAAAGAATGCGAGCCGACAAGAAATACAAGTGGTGTGCTCGGCTCCGAATAAAGCTTATTCGATGTGCCGTAAAGTCAACCAGGCACAAGTCAACAAAACAACTGTATGCGGCACCAATCACAAGACCAAATACGCCACGTGTGAAAAGGAAGTCATTTACAACATTCCCTTTGCATGCAGGCGTTGCTACATCGGTCAAACGGGGCGCTGCATTAATGACAGAACACGGGAACATGCGAACAATTAAAAAAAAATAATCTTGACGACAGAAGGAAACCTAGCCGCACATTGTCGCGCATGCTCGTGCAAGGCCAACCTCGAGCATGTCACCATCTTGGGGCGCAACAGAAACCAGTTTGCTCGCGAGGTGCTGGAGACTTTGGCCATAGAAGCTAAAGAAGAGGAGTGCGTTAGTTAACCATCAGTCTCCCTGGCCAAAAAAAGAGGAAATGTTCCTGCGAGGCGACAGCACTTCTAACAAGTAAAAAATCGACGAGAATGCATAAGCTAGTGGATGGAGAGTCTCTCATGAAGTACCGAACGCAGAAATAAATGACGAAGAAAAATAGAACAAACAAGCTAGTTGTAGAGGAAGAAGATTTATTAAACAATTGGTAGTCCAGCGGTTGAAATCGCATTTTTTCTCTTATCCTTTGTATGAATGGTTGCATTTGTATGTTCAGCTGGTTTCGCCCAAATATGAATCACCAACAAGCTCAACTTTTCCCCGTCGTAAGTCATATGAACAAAGCAACTTTAACGCTGTCACCGGCAAAACCAGTGAGTTTAGAAAAAGCATTGAGCACGAGGTGTCTTTTTTTCAAAATCTTTTTAACGCCCCCCCCCCCCTTTTATTCATAAGTACTGACTCATTCCTTTATTGATACTTTCAGCCCATTGTGCTATCACAGGAGTGGGTATACAAAAATAAAAGATGAAAGTAACCACCATACAAAGAGTAATTAAACAAGACAGTGGATTGCACAACACCGCTTTGTACATTTAAAAGCGCACAAGAAAAAAGTTACAAAACTGAAAGCAGCACAGGTATTAACATTTCACAAGAAAGCAGAAACTTGGTCCGTATTTGTACAAGTATGGCTTTGCAGGACTGTCACATTGGACAATGTTATGTATACTTTCTAAAAAGGCATTAAGGGATGCTCACGAGACAGCAGAATCAAGCAACATATTCCACTCTTTGGTGGTTCTAGGGAAAAAACTGAATTTAAAACAATCATTTCGTGCAGATGGGTTCCGAATGAGCATGCTATGGCGATGCCTTGAGGATTTGTTAGTGCTGGTTTCGAAGTAAATTGATTTGTTGTTCTTTATAAAGTTATGTATAATTTGGACAAGGAATTTCAATCTTTCGTACTTAGTCCGCGATTCCAAAGTTGGGAAAATTGCGAGTTCACGCAGTTTTGGAGGAGAAAATGCTTGGCCGAATTTGTTAAAGATGAACCTGGAAGCAAGTCGCTGGATTTTTTTTCAAATTTATGGCAATTCGTTACAGTATGTGGATCCCATACAACTTTCGCGTACTCAATAATCCGTCTTATCAGGGCTGTATAAGCCAGGCTTCTTCTTTCCGGAGTTG